ATTACACGTCTCTCTCGATCAGTCGTGTACGTTTGATTAAATCGTACGTTCGGACGAACGTTCTTTCCTCTAGTGTACGTAATATCTGCCGTAATATCTAGATAAAGTAAACACACGTAAGCGCGAATAAAATACATAACTTGAAACTGTGAAACTTCCTCTCTGTATACGATTGGAGGGGCTGTTTATCGATTTTATACGTCGATTGAAGAGCAACGCTCGCAGCCGTAACGGGAGACGTACAGGTTTTCGAGAGGTTGCCCCTTTCGTATGTGGTGCAGGAAAAGTGGATGGGATAATTCGAGATTAAACGGTACCACACCGTGGTCAAATTTCCATGGCGTCCCCCAGTGAGCCCTGCATTGGAGAACTTGCGTGGAACGCAAGACGACAAACGCGAAGATAAACGTGAATGCGTGCAGATTCAAAGGAATCGCGCGGGTGTGCACGCCTCCTCCGTATGTCGGGACGGCTTAACGTAACGTACGCGATCGGACAACAATGGCCACCCTGTGCGGTAGCCGGACGACGGCGGTAAGCGATCGGCGGACGCCTACGAGTGTATACACTCTTCCGACGTACGGTCGTTTCGCGTCTGACAGATCGCCCTCCATTACTCTCCGCTTACCGGCGCGGCGCGGCGGCGGGGGTGGCGCCTGTCGGCAAAATCGTCTCGTATTCTGTGATCATGTTTCCGCGGCGTTGTTACGCCGAAATAACGATCGGCGTAATGCATCGCGTTTCGTAGAAATCGACCCGCCGGAATAACGGTATACCGCTTGACGCGAAACCCCAACGCGAGGTCTTTCCGGTCTCATTTTCGTACCGCTCGTCGAGGACCTGCGGCCGACCGAAATTATCCGAAGCCCGAATAAACGTCCGTGAATGAAAAGCCCTCTGTGTTCGCGTCAAAGATCACTTCTCTATATTTGATTTACATTTTTTTCTTTAAGTATCGCGGAGCTTAATATTGCGACAAATAGAAGTAATTGCACTGGTCAGCGTATCAATCAATATTGTACACGATATGGCGGCAAGACATCCGGCGTCTAATTGCATCGCCGCGGAGAGATCATTTCGCGACGAGACGCTTCCGCTGCGCGGCTCCTCGCGACGTTAACTCTTCTCGCGATTTCTTAATTACACTCGTACGTTCATCTCTCGCCGCGCCTCCCGGTTCGCGCGCCATCCGTCTATCCGTCCGTCCGCCCGTCCGTCCATCCGTTCGTCCGTCTGTCCGTCCTAGGGGAGCCTTTATTGAACGCGCCACATTATCTGGAAATGTTCGCCCTCGCGTTAAATCACGGCCCATTAATCATTAACCCCTCCCCCCCTCTCTCTCTCTCTGTCTCTCTTTCTCCCCCGCTGTGGTCGTGGATTCCCGGGAATATTCCGCAACGAAGTATGCGATGTACGTTGACGAGAGGGAAAAGAAAAAGAGAGAGAGAGAAGAGAGACGAGCATAGTTGGACATACGCGATTAAGAAGGCGCGGTTTCCTGCTGCCGGTCTTTGTAGGAGATTAATCACGGCCTTAGAAGAGCCGTGTTTACAACATGTGGAGATCGCAGGGGTCGGGGGGAGGGCTCGCATAAGGACCGCTTACATAAATACTCGACGCGATCGCGTCGTTAGCGTCGTAATAATTAACCGCCACTTTCGTAATACGAAAGCACTCCGCGAGTCTTAACAGCCACATCCCCGGCCGTGGTTCCGCCGCGCGGTTTCTGACCTAGTGAACGATCAAATCGAAGGGGGAGAAGGGAGGCCGGGAGAGAGATCTGTATCTCGCTCGGATAAGAGGCGCGCGCGTTCACGCACCGGCGAAAATTTCATAGCAGGTAACTCTCGCGCGAGAGAGCGCGCGTATAATCGCGTACGTGCAATGTGTGTGTGTGTGTGTGTGTGTGTGTGTGTGTGTGTGTGTGTGTGTGTGTGTGTGTGTGTGTGTGTATGTGTGTGTGTGTGTGCGCGCTGCAATATGCGCGCATACACGTACGCACGCGTGTGCGTGTGTATACGCGTGCATTACGACGCGTCGTAAATACAGCGAGATACGAAGTAAATCGAAACGCCGATCTGAATGTATCCGCTTTGCGAAATACCACACGCGCGCGGCTTTGCCCGTGCGCGCCGATTTTACGCGGAAATCGTAAAATTCGATGAAGTAACGGGGCACTGACTTGACTGTGAGCGGTCAACGAAAAATTTATCTCTTTCGCGCTCCCGTTGAATTAGCGTCTAGATGATTTTCTCGCGGGGCCGCGAGTCTCGCGCGCGAGCAAGAAAAAAAAAGGGTGAGGAAAAAAGATCCGTGCGAACTGTTACGCGCGTTGTCTTTCTCCGTGCCACTCCTCGCGCGGTCTGCAACTTATTGTTACGGTGAAACTTCAAGTACAAGTTTCTTTTTCCTTTTTTTTTTTTTACGGTACGCCGCGGTCACAATTAACCACCGCGACGAAGCGAATAAACGCGTGACATCCGCGATTCCGCGATTAACCAGGTGCGGTTTCCGGCTAGCTGAGCTCATTAACGATTGATTGCATCCTTTGGGAAAGGTAAACTCGAGAAACTCTATTCTTATGCGCATCTCTCGCGAGACGATATCTCGCAACGCGCGTAAGTGTGCCGATCGTATCGCTCTTCTCTGACACGTACTCTTTCTGACGATGGCTGTATAATACACGTATTTTTCTTTTTGCTTAATAAATCCCCGGATCCTGGTCCTGAGAAATGATATGTCGTAAAATAATCTTCCGTATATTTTTCAAAATAATATTCATGTTATTATTAGCCGTGCCAGATAGTTTCAACTGTTTCTGCAGCAAATAATAAGCTAGATTCTATTTGCTTTATAATCTAAAGCAAATTGGATATGAAATTATCTTACAAATGAGGATTTAAGTACTTACTTTATTTCATTTTAGAAGAGAAACAAAACGTTTTGTCACACATCTGATCAAGCGATGCGGTAGCGGCGCGACGCCATTTTATCTATCTAATATCTATAAACAATTTACGTTTTTAAATTAACAATATTGTATGAAAAAATATTACGTACATATGTGTATATATATATATATATATATATATATGCATCATCAATTTATATTAATCTAACATTAATCTCTACTACACATGCCCGTACTACACGTACACGTCTCATTACTATCTTCTTTTATTTTTCTACACGAGTTACTATCACTTTATCAAGCACGAGTTCTCACTTATATTTCTTGACGATTATTCATCTGGATGTCATCGTCTGAATGTCACGTCACCGCTACGAGTTGTCTAGCGCCGATCGTTAAGCGATCGCGAGGCGATCTGCGCGCGTCCCATAATTCGCCTCGCGTTAGAGAATTAAACAAGACGATTAACGAGAAGAATTGGGTCAGTTTCGCCAAGTCAATCGCGCGTGGCGATCTTCCGCTCTCCTCCGCCGCGCCGTCATCTCGACACGAGCTATTAAGTTTCGAAACAGGGTAGTCATTGAACTCCTCGTCCAAGATAGAATTCTCGCGTGCCCGTACGTCCCGTGCGTGCGTGCGTACGTGCGTGAGTGCCGCGCGAATATGGTGTATTCTTGGATGACGCGCGTTTTAGTTTCAGGCGATCGGCGTGAACGCGTTCGCGCGCTGCAGTATAACGCGAACGTATACGAATCCGTGGAAATACCACAATTATGCAGGACGCCCGATACACGCTGCGTGTGCCGTGCGAGCTGCGAAATTGCTCTTAATCCGCGGATTTACCGCTAAATGGGATATGGAATCATCCTGATTCGAAGCGCGAGAGATTTCTTATTATTGAAATTTCTCAAAAAGAAAGAAAATTTATCGATGTTGTCCGCCTAATCTCGCGCACGACATTCGGAAATATACCAGACGCAAGTAATCGTTTACGTTTGGCGAAGATGAATCCGTATTTATAAAGTATACCTCAGCTGTTGGAGCTGTAAATAGATATTAATAACTAAGCTTGTCAAACCAGAGGATACATGCTAATTATACTAATACAGTGCGCTCACGTAAAAAGACGTTCAAGAAAGTAGTAATTTACATAAACGAAGTTTGAAAGATATTCCGTGTGTATCGTGTTTTTGTTCCTAAGAAAATGATAACTATATATTTTTATACGTATATATTCAATAACAATCTCGATGTCGATTAAACAACTCAAACGTTCTGCCAAAGAAATGTCCCTGTGTCCGTCTACTTCCTTCGGTTTAAAAACACGCATCTTGACACTTGAAAACGAACGACATTCCATTTTTACATATATTTCCAATTCAATACCAGCGTCTGGCCTAAGCGTGGCTTACGTGAACGTGCATCCAGAAGAGAGCGTGAACAAAGTTAAAAGAGAGAGAGAGAGAGAGAGAGAGAGAGAAAAAGAAGGAAATTGTACAGCCCGGTGTCGCGTTGACTGGTCGTTCATAAAATATTTCACGTCGCGCGCATCCGCGCGCGCGAATATGCATTTTCTTTTCATTTCCTCACCGTGGCCTTAAAGGAAACCGGTAGAAAGCCGCCAGCGCGCGCGCGCGCGCGTCTCTTTAAAAAGTGCATCCCGCGAGCGCATCGGGAGATTAGGAACGAACTTTCACGCGCGCAGATATTTTCTCCGCGATTCTCCCTAATGCATAATCTCTACCGAGTGCTAATCGATACTCTCCTCCGTCTGGGAAGTCTTTAACTCGGCCGCTATCTCGGCCGGGCCGCCGCATTCTTTTCTCCGCAGAATGGTACCTCCGATAAAAATATTCGATTTCTAGATAAGTATAGAGAAATATATATATACACGGAGGAAAAACATCGGGGGAAATTCGGGTCGCCAATGCCCGACGAACGAGAACTACAGCTGTCTACTTTCGTCCCGTCGATTTCTGACTCATCTCGATAGAGATCCGTTCGCGAGCTGCCGCCGCTTCTTGATGAAATTTATGTGTATATAAGCGCGCTGCTATCCTTCCCATGAATTTCCAACTTCCAGCGTGTTTGGTAATTAGGACAAATTGAGATTCTGTTGAACTAAAGTTCGCTGAAAACGCGGGAGGGGCACGATTGAATATCATTCATTTGCATTTCACAGCTTAATTCGTAAAACTATTTGTCAGTGGCTTGTAAGAGTGCAACGTCCAGTATATTAATGCTCGTTGCAATTTTTGGTATTATATGCGTGAAGTTAAACAGAATTACTCAGTACTTGGATTCCACTGAATTTTCTTTGTCGGATCTTTTCATTATGTGTTCGTGCACCTTTGCCACTTTATGACAGTAAATATGCGTATAAATCCCATCTCATTGCTTGATGGTGCTATCCATTTCTATTCATATTCCACGAAGCGTATTGGCCTAATTTTTATCTTATTCGACCAGTACAAAAGTCAGCTTTGATGACATCATGGAAAAGTCCGTTGATAGTGACTAATTAAATTCTTCTAAATTGTATTTATTTAAATGTCAAGATTATGCGCGAGGTTATCAAAAACAAAAGATTATATATGTATACATATGAATATGAAATTATTACTTCCTCTAAATTATTTCCTCTAACTCTATAATTTATAATAATTTGTTAATTAGTTTGTAATACTTACTATTAATTAATTACTAGCTATCTTTCATTTAATTAAGCTTTTTTTAAAATACAATAGAAGATAAAATAAAGAATAGTTCTCGCATGAAAATCTATGTAATGATGTTGAAACAAGTATAAGATATTCAATTGTGTTGCGTATATCATATTTATAAAATTATGACATAATCCACAATTGGGAATCTCAGCGAACTAAGTACAACATTATTTCATGTGGACAGAACGATTGCAACACTTTTTTATAAATTTTGGAACGCATTAATATTTTGCAAATATAAACCACGATTTAGTCCAGAGACATGAGTACATTAATCGTGAGTTGCATTTGCAAAATATTAGTACGTTCCAATATTCATTAAAAAAAAGTGTTGCTACCGTTCTGTCCATCACTATACGTAAAGTGACAGAAACATAAATAATATTACAGTTCTCAACAACGATTGTTTAGGTTATGCTCTAAAAAAGCTCACGTTGTAGAATAATTTATTTTTTCAGCTTCATGCCAAGAAGAGACTTGGTAAGAATCTCATAACTCACACGTCTCTCTTAACCTACACATTCATCCATACCTTTATCAAAAGCGCACGTTGTATTATAATCTTTATCTTATTTTCGCTCGATACGCTACGACAAGAACTGCAATTTCTCTGAAAATTGAGAATTCTGAAAATCACTATGGCAGGGATGCTCGAGACGCTTGTGGTCGCTATAATGATGCTTGCAAGTGGCACGTGAAAATCGCGAAGTCGGTGGTGTGAAATCAAAGGCGCGATATCGCGCGGTGCCACCCACAGTTACAGCGGAGCTTTTTATCAGCCCGCACGCTCGGTCGATCGCCGCATGCGGCGCGATAGCGCTCGTCGGAGGGGTCCGTTTTCTCGATCGACGCGCGCGATCGACGAGGAAGTAACGTGTATGCACCGTTTGTATACAGGGTGTGTCGCGCGCGGGGTCCAATCCACCATCACGGACTACGTCTGCGAATCTCTGCGTCGACGCTTCCGGATCGAGCTTTCAAAAACGACGATCACTTTCCGATGTCCAACGATAAGTATCGTTAAGGCATTAGGATGCAAATCGAAATTTTTCCGTAAAATGAAATCGCTTGACAAACGATGTTTCATCAGCTATCCGCACAAGTCCCGCGATTCGTAGTTCGCGAAGTTCCCTTTAAAATCCGAGTCTTACGCAACTCGCTCGAACGCTCTCTTCCTCTTCGTTAGTCCGCTCAGTTTTTTCCTTGCCTGCCTCGGATTCGAAGAAAATGCGCAATTTCCGTGTCGACGGCACGAACGTCAAATCGCAGACAGCTCTAAGACTCTCGTAAGCCGAAGAGGAAATGTTTGCAACGAAAGGGAAATATTTGCGCTGTCTCACTCCGCGCGCGCCGTTCGGGCGAAGAGAGTTCGCCTAATTTCCGTTTGTGCGACGGTTCACCAAACACCCTGTATATGTATACATATGCGGCACGAGGTCAACGGCACGTTGGAAAACAACCGCGCGCGCGCGCTCGCGGCAAGGCGCGCGTACATGCACGCGGTGTACGCGTGCGCGTACATACGTGTTTGCACGGGTAACGTCCGACGGGGTCTCTCGTCGCGTCGGCCTGAATGGGAACGGTACCGTTTTCGAATTCCCTTTTGCCGTTCGCGCTTCGGCGCGGCGGGCGGCCCTATCGCGAGAAAGCATTGGGCAAGCCGAAATCAATTCCTAGACGCCGCGCGTATATGCGAGGTGTCTCGTGCCCCGCGAGCCTCTCAGCTTTCACTCATAAATATTAGAAACCGAACTGAGAAAAATTAGAAACTGAAATAATTGGAAAAATCTGAAACGCGTTGCATATTTTAGCCGCCGTCAGCACGACTTTAGGTCCGGCTTTTTAGCCATCCGTTTCCTTTTGATCAATTATTATCGGGAAGATACTTGACAGAAGTATTGAGAATTAGCGGCTTTCATTCTTTTCAGGTATAAACTGACTCGGAGGTTTAAATATAACCAAGCTGGATTATATGTATATACTATTACTATTGCGACAGAGTGTCAATATAAGGAGCGATATTATAAAAGCGCTTTTATTAAGTATGAACCGGTGATATTTGTGGAAGGATACCGTGTTTATCTTATGTTCTTCATTCCGCGTGTGATTTCTTAACAGTTGAATGATCGGCTCAGCCGCTTTCAGCGCCAGAGATTTTCCGGGTCAATATTTATCTTTCCAGACGTCGGAGATATATATCTCGATTGTTACACTTCGCCAATGGGTCGCACTCCATCACAATTGTGCTCGCGGCAAGGAGGATCGTCCCGTTTCAATGAAAACGGGTTTCCCGAAGCGAGTGACACGTAAAGCGCTCCGGACTTAAGTGCATTTAATTAAGGTCGTAATACGAGAGTTCCCGACGCGCGCTCGCGCGCGCACGCGGCCGACGTACGTGCGAGGAGGAAGAAAAAGCAGAACGGAGCCACCGAAAATGATCGAGCGCCGTTGCGGCGCCGTATATTACGGTTAGGGGTTAAATACCGTTACGAGGATCTTTTAGTACTTCACGTGCGCGCGCGATTTACGGCGGCCGTACAGGAGAGGATGCGGCTGTTCACTCAACAATCCCCGCTTCCAGAAGGACCACAGAGGCAACGGCGAGTGGAAGAGGACCGCGCACAGGCGGACGAATGCGGTTGAGTCAACTCGAAAAGGGGACTCGAAGGAGAGACGGAGAGAAAGAGAAAGAGAAAGAGAGAGAGAGAGCTTTCGTGACGAATAAAGAAAGAGAAGAGGGGGCGGGAAAGGAGAGAGAGAGAGAGAGAAGGAGAATTTTTCACCGTGCGGTGAAACCGTCCCCCGCCGAGGAGACCGATCGACTTTCCGTGCGACGACCCGCGCGGCAGCGGCTCTCGGCGCGAACACGCACGACGCCGACGCCGAGACGCCGCGCCGCGGCGATCTGTCGAGCTGACTCGACGATGCTTGCCGCACACAATGGTTAATTGAATCTTCGAGGAGCGATCGCATTGCTCGCGAGTGTCACGCGACTCCATAGAATGTAACAAAAGCGTAAGATACCTACGCGAGGGGTTTTGCAACCTGTGTTTAAAGGGAAATTATAAAGCGGGAGCGGACGTATTGAAAACGAACGATAATCGCAAACCTCGTATAGTTTTCTTCTCCCTGGTTGTATTTTTATTAAAAATGTATACGGAGAATGAAGAGCGTTTCATTTTGGCGAAGGGAAGAAGTGTGTTACATGAAGATAAATATCATCTCAAGACATTTTTCAGACAACACAAAAGTGCTGTTTAAGATTTAACTTTTCCTTTCCCAAGACGTATTTTTATTCTTTTACATTGCATGTTTGGGACTACGAGCAGACCTCCAAGTTTATCCAGGATTGATAAGTCTGCGATACCTTCCGATGTGTTTGAATTTTCCTGCTACTCGTAATATAAGAAATTATATTCGAAATATTTTTAAAAACATCTCTGTCAAATGTAAAATGCAGCATATAACTTTTTTTAAATATAAATATTACAAAAAAAACCCATTCTTGCAATCAACACCGCAAAATGGAAATTTCTTCCTCTCGATGTATTATTTTTATCTATCTTTATTATATTTTTTATTGCAACTCGTGCAAAAGATTTTTTTTATATTAATGCATATATGTACAAAACAGTAAAAATTCGTACACGTATTAAATTTTTTGAAACAAAGAGAAGCAATTGTTTTCAAATCGCTCTTTTATATTTAAAAATAGGAATATATATAATGGTACTTTTCATAATTGTATTTTTTGATACCTCGTTTTATTTGATATGCAAATAAAATCGAGAACGTGAATTTTTTCATTTATATATATATATATATATATATATATATATATATGTCAACATTTAGCAGCTCAAAATCTTGAACAAAATTTAAAACAAAATTTAAAAAATTCGATATTGTCAGTTATTCTCGATCATCTGAAGTTTCTTCAAGGGGTATGTGATACATTGAATATGTGTCTTCTTATACATGCACTCGGATAATTTCGTGACGTTTTTGAATACCTCGAGAAAGAGAGACGAATAACAATAATTATATCTTGTATACGGACGCGAAAGTATGTACGCAACAACAGTTGCGAGGAGACGATTAATTGCCGAACGATAGTTCGTGATTTTGCATACGCAACACACGCACGCACACACATCCGCGTAAACACATAAATATGCACGTACGCAACACCGGCATATCTATGCACAAGTTAGACGTTGAGCGATCATATTAAGTATATATACGACTGTGTCACAGGTCATCGGCCCTTGGATATTCTTGGCAACGCGCGCTATCTCTCTCCTTCCTCCGCATCATCCTCATTCTCCTCCTTTTTTTTTCCCTCTCGCTCCCTCCTTGCGACGACGGCGACGACTTCTCCGGGGCTCTTTCGCTCCCTCCTCTCCGCCTAGACTTCTCTTTTGTCTTCCCTCTCGTTGCGAGTACTCCGACAATTCTTTCCTTTTCATCTTCACTTTTCTCTCACTCACTTACTCTCTCTCTCTCTCTCTCTCTCTCCTCCCCCCCCTCCTTTTCTCTCTTCTTCTCTCTCTCTTTTTCTTCCTCACGAGTACACACTCTTCGATCTTCAATTAGTTTCTGGCAGATGCACTTCTAACGACCTCGTCAACCGGAAACGATATGACCTCCCGGAACTCCAGTAGACAGTTTCTTCCGGATCGATCGCGTGTCCGCCGACGATTTGATAAATTTTAGATAATTGCCGGAGAACGCCAGGCATCTTTGTGAGCGGTATAATATCCGGCGAATCTTTCATTTCTGAAGGAATAGGTACTGGGAAAGAAAACTTTCTTTCCTTATCTGCAACGTGTTGAGAGGGTTTGTAGTTAAAAAAAAGTTAGAGGGTCGCGTAGTTTTAATCTTGCCGTTTAATCGTATTTAAAAAAAAGACCATGCAATGTTTTCTTCGCGGCGTATTAAACGTGACTTATTTTACAAAAGAGGTAGAGATATTGGAAACCGCTAGAGGAGTGCAATGACTTGCCTTCAATGACTGTATAATAATAACATATTAGTAATAACAAAGTAAATAGTAATTTATTTGATTATGCGATTTACTCGTCCGCGATACGATATTTTACAGATACTATATAATTCTCCTTTTATTTTTACTCCGTGGTGAATGCGTTTTCTCGTAAACTTTCCACCTTCTATGCGTTTTCCTATAATTTATTTAAAATGACAATCCGATAATGTACCGCTGTATTCATTAGCATTACTATCGAAATGATGTTATTACTAAACTATGCGATATATTTTCGTTTCAACTGCGATAACTTTTCGTTTCATTAATGTTATTGGATAACGAGAACAGAAATCGTTTGTTAGAGAGAAAGAAGAGGGTGTGTATGCAAGAGAGAGAGAGAGAGAGAGAGAGAGAGAGAGAGAGAGAGAGAGAGAGGAAAGGGAGCAAGAGAGCCGTTAGTTGACAGTTGGACATTTCGTTAACTCCGATTCCTGTATGAAAATACAGGGGATATTTGATCCCTGCAACGGCTACCTGCGCCAAAGTGGTCTCCGCGCTGATCTACCGGGAAATCGATTTTTTTTCACATAAATATGTGGGTTTGAGGAGCGTGGGCGCATTGTAGGCAGCGCTTACGGTGCTCGGTGGTGCGTCATCGTCGTTTCTCGCGAGGAATATTTAATCCGCTTACCAAACGAAACGAATTCAAGCTACCGCGACGGTTTGACATTTCGATTCGTTGGGCGTATAGCGTTGCAATCGTATGCAGATACCGTCAATTATATCCTTTTTTTTTTCCTTGCAGATAGTAAACGGTCAACAGGTTTTTCTCGAATTAGAACGTGAATTAGATGGATATGGAGCGCTCGGTCAACTTTTCCACTCGTGTTTTCCGCGTAGGCATGTTTACGTTTTCGCAATAGTGATGTCATGTCTCGAAATCAAAATTAAAAATTATTTAATCCTAACACTAAATCATTTTTTTATTTACTAAAATAAGTAATAAATAAATTATGTATGTGAGTGGGCTTTTAAAGCCTCGTTCAAAGGCTTTTAAATTATGTATGTTTCTATGTATATATAAATTATGTTTACATTATTTACATATTTAATATATGGAGTAATTAAATTATGTTAATTGCATATATCACGAATATATCAAACCTAAGTTAGTAATGTGAAAATATTGATTATTTATTACATGATACTTCACGTTTTCTATATGATATAAAACGTAAATACTATGAACATAATATATCTATCTAAATAATATAGAACATAACTACAATCGAAAGAAAGCGCCTTGGTTGATCATTTCGTATACATGCATATGTGTTCTAATAAAATCATCTCGCGCGCATAAGGATCGGTGCACTGTCCTAGGAGGACGCAAAGTCTTCCGCATAAACGATACACGAATATAACACGTCCGTATATGCAATTGCATGCGGGATGCGAGATTCCGTCTCGCTCGGGGCACCATCGGCTCTAGAGCCGCCTCTGCACACGGTGGAAGCCGTGTGTAAGAACGACGAGGTACGGCCGGGCGTGTGCAGCCGTGGAACAGTGACCCCCTGGACCAGAGATACAGTTATTGCGTTTACTCTCCTTCATGCTCGGCACGTAGCCGTGCCGCGGGCACGAACCGCGATACGCACCGGCGTCGCGCCTCGGTGCGCGTTGCACCGTTGTCCACTGTTGCGCGTCATTGCGGCAACGTTCGCGTCGGCGATCGTTATTCGGTCGTCGAGTCGCGACGAGAAAAATTCGTTCCGTCGCGAATCTCAGCATCATCCGGCATCCGAATCGCGATACGAATGTGCGATTTTGCGTTCACGTTTCGGCATGTAGACACCGAAAAACCCGTAGAAAATTCTTGATTTCCGATTGTGAACTCGACGAATTTGAAATCTTGATTCTCAACTAATATCCTAAATTTGAGACTGAATGCACATTTGTATCACAAACAATAAATTAATTAATTTATACAAATGTATGACTTGCGATAAACTAAGCGAGTTGGGTATCCCTTTTTTTTCTTCTTCTCAGATACATTCTTTAATTGAAGTTTATATGTAAGAGTCGAAGAATAATGCGAATTCATTGGATCGATCAGCATGTGCAGAATATAAATTCTTTACTGACAATGAGAGCAACTAATTCCTTTCTTCCGCACAAAAAAAAAGAAAAATCACTATCGCAATAGAGAAAAGGAATCTCTGCAATAAAGAGCGAAAATTTTCTTCATAACTTAACTATCCTGATCGCACGAGATTTCTTCACTGCCAACGAGCTGTCTTACAAGAGAATCTCGCGGACAACGAGCAGCACCGCAGAAAACCCGTTTCGTTTCGTTTCGCGCGACTAAACGAAAACGAGGCTGTGTGCCTCGGTACTCACACAACGTATGTACACACAACTCGTTCGATCTGGACGTTCAGTCAAACTCGGTTAACGCGTCGAAAACGAGAAAAATTGTTCACTTCGTTCAAATAAAATTCAGTTGCAGCCGTAAAAAAAACAACGCTTGAGTTGGAAACGCTATAAAGCCGAGCGATGAAAAAAAGAGATGAACGATCAACAGACATATATACGTTGATTAAATTTCATCAAGATTCACTCTTTTTACTTGTTTACTTAACGGTTGCTTAAAATATTCGAAATAAACTGAACCCGTCCTTTGAACTTTGTTTGTCAAATTCGTCGGTAACACGACACACGCCGCAGTAGTGTGAAATTGAATATTTCCGTACGTAACTGTAAAAATGGATTCGCGAGCGACAGGGTTCAAAACGTTCTGGTTTATGACACGTATCGGGTTTCTCGATTTGGAAACGGCAACTCGTGTTTGATTTTTCTCGATAAAACGTTATTAAAATCGAACTAAAATAAAATTAAAAAAAAAATGCAGGGAAATGAAATTAAACTTATTTTTTTTACCGGTAAATTTGTGTATATTATATTCTCTGCAGCGAGTGTTTCTGAGAACTTTTCGTGCATTATGATGTAATAAATATTATAGACGGAAGGATCTGTGTTGCAGGAATACAAGCTCGGAATTTAAGAAAGTTCGGAGGAGCAATGCGCAATATCCTCGATTACGCGGATGTCGCGCGAGCCGTGCGAGGTAAAAGTTTCGTTGCAAAAGTTCTCGCGCACGCAGCCGCGTGCCAGCGCGGCATTTCCGCGCGGAATAGTCTCGAAGAGAGGTAAAGCGAGACGTAAAAATTGCGAAGTGCGCACGGTGGACCATATACACGCGGATCTGCATACAATCGTACAATTTTATCTGATCGCGAGAGCTGCCGAGCTATGACCACTGCAGGCACCCATACTTTCTACTACGGCGGTTATTGCAGACTATGGGCGATAGCGAGGTGATAAAACCTTCGTGAGAAGAGCTGGACATGGACATACCGTGCCGTCCCACTTTCCGGCCGAGATAGTCGCAGAGATAGCTCGCGCGCCGTGCGCGCGGTTCTTTAGACGCTTTTCATGTAAAAGAAGGAGGCGGGCTCCGCGCAGCTCTCGAAGGCTTGCGTCATTCTCTACTCGCGCGCGCGTCGTAAGAGAGTATATTTCCCCCTCTCCCCCCGCCCTCCCCGTCTTGAAAATATTGTCAATGTCGCGATCCCGTCCTAAACTCTGAGATATCTCTCTCAGGACGCAGGCCGCGAATATACTCCGCTCTATACGCCGCCGGGAACAAGACATTCCTCTTCGCATCGGATTATCCTTCGAGGATAATCTTAGCTCCGGTTGCGATGGGACGATCATCGATCGATCGTCCCTGCAGCCGCTGTCAAGCGACCTTATCTAGTCTCCGGTTTACGACGGTTGCAGGTAGTCCGGATTAATCCCGTGTACTTTTGCACGCGTCAATCGGCTCGCGCTGGTTTGTCTAGCGACCTTATCAGGTGAGTCGCCCTTCGACGTGCTCGACCGCCTGCCCGAGGTTCAATGAACTCTGCGAACGAGTCACTGCCGTGTCGCCGGGGTTAATTAATTGAGGTTACGACTTTCTCCGATCTGATTTACACCACATTGTGTCGTTCGCCATCGAGTTGATGAACTTTCTTCCGCGCCGGTTTCTTCGAGTCTCCGAACTCGTACAATGAGATGATTTAAAACAAAGTCAGCCCTAACCATGGGTTTAATTGAGTTTCCGAGATAAAATTTACAGTAAAGCGTGGCTATCTGGAGAGATTAAATTCGTAACTGAAGCAAGATATTTAGAGAATTACCTGTATGACATATGAAAAAAGTGAAATATTTTACAATTGGCAAAGTTGTTGCGGAGAGTAGGAATCGATTGTAGAAACTTAATCAAAATTTTAAACAGCTTATTTAAAAATATATTATGACATCGAATTCTTGTTTTGGTGCATTAAGGTACCAAATAAAATATTAGATACTAAAGATTCGCGTTTGTGTTCCAATTTCTTTTCTTATTAGCACAATTGACATCCTTATTATTCTCTGGATGAAAATAATTAAAATAGATATAAATAGATATTTATACGTCAAAGATTTGTGAAGTTTTAATGTTTTTGAAGTTTCAACTCCGAGATTTTTGGCGAAAGTGTTAGAAAGTTATCCTTGCAAAACCGAGATCCTCGTTACCCAACCACGGTTTTGATTATTCAGAAATAACCTCACGATAAATATCACCGATTACGTATTCTGCGAGGGTGCCTTCTACTCACAGGGAGCGATCGTGGGAGATACGGGATCCAGTTATCAATTACGTATCTCCGCATCGGTTCAACGAACTCAGGCATAGGGTTAATTTGGCGAATTCAACTTTCTTCGGCGAGACTTAACCCGGGAGACCTCGACTTGACATTGAAACAATGAACCGCAAAAATGACAAAAAGAATACGATAAGCTGGAGCGCACCGACGAGGAAACAGTTTCAGAACTCCTAATTTTTTACGAGTTTCGGATAACATAAAAACTTAAAATTGTACTAATAAAATAACGTTTAAATTACAGGAAAAGATGTCAGAAACAAAAGTGCCTTGTCGTTATTTGATTACTTTAAAAGGGCAACGACTCCAATAAAACACGTATTTTTTTGAAGAGCTTATACACAGTCGTCAGCATAAAGTTTGCGGCACTTTATTGTGATGTGTTTTGGAACTCACTAATATTTTGCAAATACGATTGGTCTAGCCTAGAGATAGTACACCAATCGTGGTTCGTATTTTGTAAAATATTAGTAAGTTCCAAAACCATCAAAATTAAAACTGTCGCTACCTTTGCGATTGGTGTACTGTTTCTAGAGACGTTGCTTTTTGAGCCACGTCAAATACGAACCACAATTGATGTTTCTAATCTAGGGAGGAAAGGACGACTCCAATAATAAGAGACGTGCTTTTTTGAAGAGCTATACAATCGCCAGCATAGAGGACACTTTTTATTTTGGTTAGTTTCGGAACTCACTAATATTTTGCAAATACGATTGGTGTATTGGAATCACGATTAATGTTATACTGCCTCTAGAGACTACCAATCGTAGTTCGTATTTGCAAAATATTAGTAAATAATATTAGTAAGTTCTAAAACAAAAGTGCCCATCAAATTAAAAAGTGTCGCAACTGACGCAATCTTTATTGGCAACTGTAATCGCAACATGTTTATTATACAATAAACTTTTTATTCAAAATACTCTCGTATATTATATATAACTGTTTCGATTATATTCGGTCCGGATCAGAGAATTCTTTGAGCTAAATATATATATATAGGGATACGCCTTTGTAAGCATGCTCCACGTAATGCGCACTCGAAGTTAATCATCAATCCGGGAGAGACGACAGTCGCGTCAAGTGCTCCCGTAATAAATGCGGCGGGCGTGCGTCACGTTTCGCGCGTGCGAAAGCGGAAAAGGCGCGCGATAGCGCGAAAAAAGCCGACGCGCCGTGGCCGGGTCGACGAACCCGCGTAGGATTAATTTGGCGTGCGTTCGTAACTTCCTTCAACGAGACTTAACCCCGCGCGACTCCGACTTGACACCCGGGTGGAGAGCGGGAGCAGATATAAAAATGTCTGAAAATGAACGCGACGGGCGGGGCGTAACCGTCCGTCACAGCGGCGCGCAGCGGTTAAAAGGACATCGCCGCGCGGCGGTGTTGCGCGTGTTTGGCGCGAAATCTAGAATTAACTGAGGGACCTCCTGATGGTGGTGGGGCGAGATGATGAAATTAATTCGCGCAATCATTCACGCGTGATTGAACAGTCACGCTTCGCGGCAACCCTCTCAGATTCAGATGCAAAGTAACATATGCTAATGCAACGACGACGAGTTGCACGTGGTGTTATGAAATCACTGTACATCCTCGATTCGGATCGCCTGAACTCGAGATCATCGGTTTGATGTTCTTGAGCGCGTCCGGGGACAGTTACGCCTTTTTCTCTTATAGCGTTACAACGCGTGTTACATACGCGTGTCGCGTATATGTCTACTAAATGAACTAAAGATGTGCGAATCTATTCGAATCTTATTTGATTCGATTTGAATTCGAATCTCTGATCATTCGAATCCGAATTATTCGAAGTTTCGAATCTAATAGGTTTAAATCATATATCGACAATCTGATAAAATTATATTTCCCTCTAATAAATAAAACAATGCTTATACAAAAAAAAAGACAGTTCTTTAGGATACGTTCTTGAAAGTTATGTTTTAATGATTTAATTCAACTTAATTAAATTCGATTCAGATTTAACTCAAATTTGATTAGTATTCGAAAAAAAATGAAATTCTATTTGATTTGACATAAAAAAACTTTGAGTTACACATCTCTAAAATGAATCATGTGTTATTACTAGTGATGTGTCGCAGAAAAATCCCGAAGGTTGGGGAAGGTCCCCAAAAGGGATTTTAAAAAGGGAAATTCGACTTGGACATTTTTTATCTATAGGGACGACAGACCAAAGATGCTACAATTGTAAAAGTAGAAGGGATAGCATCTTTATTCATGGTCTTTTAGGACAAAATTCCTCACACAGTTCAAAACTTTCGTTTCGATTGCATGCGTTGCACAGCAAAGCAAAGAAAATTACCGTTTATTATAAATTGAATAACTTGAAAGAAAAGTGTACGATTTTAATTAATAACATGAAAATAGTTCCTGCCGGTACGTAGAATAGCTTTAGTTTATTGTCTTTATTATTGAACTTTATTCTTTTTAGTTATTCTATTATCTACCTGTAATGATTCTTTTTCGCATTTGTTATTCGATCACGTGGCGCATTACGGCCATTACTCGCACGTAATTCACAAAAATTCACTGCCAATTGACTGCTAATAGCTGTCAATTTAGCTGTAATGCGAAAAAATTTTTTTACATTTGTCCGTTGCTCGAGCACGTGGCATGATGTTAGCAGTTCCCGCTTTTTTACATATAATGGCGAGAACCACGTGGCCGAGCAACGGACAAACGTAAAAAGTTTTCGCATTATAGCTAAATTGGCAGCTATTGGCAGTCAATTGACAGTGAATTTTGCATATGTGAATAATGGCCGCGATAAATGCGAATCATTCTATCTTGAAATCGATTTTTCCCTAACAAAAATTGTTATTTTTATTTATAAATCTACATATACATATACATATATATTTTAAAGTATATTTATTTTATACTAAATATATTTATAATTTTTATTATTTTACTTAAAATTGAAAATTTGATATTATAACATAATGGATAAATCGTCTCAAAGATTTTAGGAAAAAAATTATTTTTGTAAATATTTTATTAATCTGGAAAATGCAAAATTTTTCATATATTTTACATCTTACATTTTCTGAGTGATAAATGTGAAGTCTTTCTTCAATAGCTGTCGTACACGGATATTTGTTACCGAAAGTAGCTTTCTAAAAGGATATGCTGAATTTTGAATGGACAATGAATGTCTCTTTCCCTCTGTCTCTCGCTCTTTCTCACCCCCTTCCCTCTCTGCTCTTTCCTCCCTCTGGATACATACCAACGAGCGAGCAGGTTCAACGAACCCGGGATGTGACGCCACGCTGGGAATTTATTATCTGTAGCCTGTTGTTCAACGACCCCCGTTTTTTTCGCGTGCACCGCGGATTCGAGCGTGTTCTTGGCTTAGTTTCTTCCTGATTTCCCCGGCGCACCGTCATCGCGCGGTCACGGATGACGTATCCCCGTACCGCGAGATGGGTTTTTCGCGGTGGACGTTTGTCGCGCGTGACTAAAGTCCTTAGATTTATGAAGTACCACATATCCATAGGACTCAATTATTAGGATTTGGAATCAAATTGGCGTCGGAACGGGTAGCATATACTTTTATAATATATCTATACTTACACTCTTCTAAATTTTTATAATTGAGCTTAGGGTACTACGTTACCATTACATTTGTCGTACGACAATTTTTTCAAGCTTGTTGATTGGCTATAGGCTAGGGAAGATCTTGAAAATATTTGAGAACTTCTCTATTCTGCGCAGCTCTATTCTACACACTTGAAAAATTTGTATACTGAGTACGCTGTCCCCACTATACGCAGACCGATACACGACCTCTCACTTAATAGAATATGTATGTGGGAAATTTAAACTATATAACAATATTTATATTCCAATAAAGAATCTAATTATATTTGTTTATGATTTTTTTTTCACAAACGCTTGTCGAGAAGCAGCTTCTACTTATCACATTTAGTATTAAACAGCCCGTGATATAAAATAGTTGCAAACAGACAAAGAAGAGAGAAAGTCGTGATAACACTATAATTGAATGTTACATTACACTTAAAAAAAATACTTTAACGTACATTGTCGTCATTATTGCAAAAAAGAAACTTATCAAAATTTATTTAAAAGAACAATTATTTAATAAGCGTACCTAATATAAGTGAAGGCAACACGGAAAATAATACGAAAGATGTTCAAAGTACAGATTTAAATAGAGATGATGGAGAAACTGCAGATACAGCAAATGGTGAGATCGTTGAGATAAAAACGTTGCACTCACATGATTTAACAGACCAACATCACACTGACACAAATCAGTAAGTACACATTCAAAAACTGAAGAATATAAAACAGATATAATGAAATAATCTCTCTCTCTCTCTCTCTCTCTCT